GGAGGGCAGTAACACCCTCGTGTTATGCCTACATTTAGGCAACCTTTAATCATACATATCATGCATCATCAAGCATCATAATCATACCTGCATAATCTTGCATATAACAACTGGAACATTACTTGAAACATACTGAAACATGTTTGTGAAAAGTAAATGATGCATACACTTATTAGAGTTGTTTTGCTCGATTCTTGCTTGCTAGTTGAGTAGAAATTGTTGGTTATGCTTGTAAATCATCTAGAATTGTTTAGCACAATTTTTGGAGCAAGGTTTGTATTCAAATTAATTCAAAAATTTTGCTTCCAAAGTAATTTCCCAAAATTAGGGTTTTGAGTTAAAATTTAACTTTGAGTCTATAATTTAAAATCTAGATAGAATTGGACTTTGGTCATAAAAGCAAAGTTGTAGGAATTAAATTCTAAGCAACTTTCATTTTGGTCCATTTTCAAAGATGTCATTTTCTTGCTCAAAATGAGATTTGAAAAACTGGAATTGAAAATCTCTTGAAAATTTAAATTGAAAATCTTCATTTTTCCTTATCAGCCACCACCGCCTCGCTTCTGCCAACAAAGGCCGGCCCCCAGCCAGCCCTCCCACCACGCCTCGCTTCCACAACCCTGGCCCACCCCCAATACAGGCTCTTTCTCCCTTCGCATCATGCATGTCATCAGTACGCCGCCTTGCATGATGATGGCAGAGGAATCCCACGTGGCGACTCACACGCCCGGCGTCGCCCGCCAGCAGCCGCTGGCCTGACACACACGCCCCACACGCCCGCCTTCACTGGCTGGTGCTCACAAGACTTTCTCTCACTCGCGCCCGCTCCCTTTTCTCCCCCCGAGCCGAGCCTCGAGCTCGCCGCCTCGCCGCGCCCGTAGCTCACGCCGGCGTTGAGCTCTCGCGCCGCCGCGCCATTTCCGATTGCTCGCGCCCGCAGCCCGCCTCGCCTCCCTTCTCTCACGCTTTCGCGCTTGCGCCTTCCGAGCTTAGAACCTCTGGTGAGCTTCCCGCGCCTACCACCACCGACGCCCATGGCGCCGCTGCGTTTCGGCCAGTGGGCGTCCTCTTCTCTCCTTTTCTCAACCGTGCTTGGCTGCTGCTCGCTTTCGCCATTGCCTCGCACAACTCCTGCGCTTCGTTAAACTTATTTCGCTAACGTGGGTCGGAGATGGCACCGTCACATTGGCCGAGCCAGCTGCGTCGCGCCAAATACAGCGCTTTGGCGAGAGCACCACGCCTCATTGGTGCCGTAGCCGAACCAGTAGTGGGTTGGCGCCTGAGCTGCCGTCTTCCTTCCCTCGGCCGCTCGGGCAGCGCAGTTTGGTTGTGGCTGTGGGCCAACTGTTCCCCACGGGCCGCCCAGATTTCTTAAATGAATTGATTTCCATTTATTATTTGTTAATTGAAATCAAATGGTTTGAAAAATATTTGGGTGATCAAACTTGCTCCAAATTTGTTGAAACAAATTTTGCTAGGTTCCTTATCATCAGATCTAATTGGGAAAATTATTGCATGTCATTTTTGGGATATTTTTCTGTAGGATTTTATTTAATCATGGATATTGCTGATAACTTGAAAAATATGTAGAAAAATCTATAGGCTTCAGAAAAATATGATTTCAAGTTTGTTAATCTTATTATGTAATGTACTTCCTAGGAAAAATATGTTTCATGCATGTGCTGTGGGAAAATTTTGAGGTGTAGTTCAAGTACCTTTAATGGCTGAATTTTGTTATTTTTGCTAGAGAGCAAAATTTGTATAAAACATGCATGTGGTAATTTTTGTACAGTTATTATTGACTGTTTAGAACTTAGGAAAAATACTAAATCTGTTGGTTGACACTTTTTATAGTACAAAGTAATTTCATGCTCATTTTTATGCTATAGCTTGTCATTTTTGTGTAGGATAGTTTACTTATCCAAATGCCATGAAATTTTTATGGTAGTCTGTTTATGGTAGTATTATGCTACTGTAATTTTCTCAGATTTTTAGAAGCATCAGAAATATATGTTGCTATTCAAACCTATTATTAATTAGGGTTTAAGCAAGTGTTGCTTTAAGTGTGATTAAGAAATTAGTAAAGCTTTGGTGTATCTTTGAAGCATTTAATAAGATGTGTTGACTTAACCTATTAGTAGTAGAAGAGAATGCAGTAGATGACATGTGCTTGTAGTATATTTTCTTGGATGATGTGACTACCTTGCTTTTCAACATATCCATTGCATTCATCTCCTTCGATGCACCGATTGCATAGGCACTTACACGCATTGCATCATACAGGATCGCAAACCGAGAACCCAGTCGTCATTCCCGAGGAGCCCGAGGAGCAGCTCGAGGTGCAGCAGCAGGAAGTGCCAAAAGCCGACGAGGAGGACGTTGAGGAACTTCCGGAGTGCCCCGATCACCGTCCGAGCTCCTTCGAGAGAGGCAAGCCCCGGAGCATCTTTCTCCCGGTTTGCAATGATTTCATTAAATGCTTTACTTTAAATTGATGCATTACGTTCAGGAGTTGTTTGCAACCGTTGCTGCATTATACCTTGTTTACCTTTGTTATACTATATCCTTGTTACCCTGGTATCCGCAGTCGAGTCAATGCTTAGCTGGCTTAGACCGGTAGAAGTCGGGTGATTTCCTGTCACCTGCGAGCTATAGGTGGTTACCTGGATCTGCTTGGATGGCTATGAAGTCATGGTATAACTAAGTGTTAAATGAAGTTGAGACCGGACGGAGACTTGCAGAGTTTTGGACTGTAGTGTTTCCGTCCTCAGGTCGATTAAGAACCGACCGTTGTTGGGCCTCGAGTCATGTTGAACGCATGCCTTACATTTAGCTGGCGGATAAAAGTACCTTCCGATTGTGAAGTCGGGAGATTTTTCGGGCGAGTAGATTGCCCACAGCCAGACCGTGTCGGTGCAGTGTGGTAGGACACGGGGGCGGGATGATAAGACCAAAGTGCAGTCGGTCGGCCCCCGGGTACATGTGGTTCCTGGCAAACTCGAGATACCTGGAAAGTTGACTCGGTGATCAATATCTCACTTTAGCGGGTGAGTGAGATTTGTGTAAGGAATAAATCACCAGCTGGTTAGGAATCGATTCGAATCGCCATCGCTCCTGGATAGTGAGCACTTGACTTGAGTGACTTCATCGTAGTAAATGTTTATGGAACACTTGGACAGTTATAGTGAATATGACAAGATGGAAGTTGTTTAATGATCGGTGGTTATCATTAATTGCTTAATCACATGTTTACTCTAGTATAGGTGCAAATCTAGTCGACGGTGTTAATAATAATTAAACTTGACAATAATGCTTTTAGAAAGGTTCTTGAAATGCTAAAATGCTTCTTTTTGCAAATGAGTCACCCCTACTATAAAGCCTTCATAATTCCTTGGTGTCATTTATTTTCGGTTATGTCGGGTAAGTCTAGCTGAGTACCTTCTCGTACTCAGGGTTTTATTCCCACTTGTTGCAGATGGGCAGATGTATTACGGCTATTGTATCAACTGCCTCTATCCTGCGATGAGTGATGCTTAGGACCATGGGCATGGTCATTCCTTACGTCTCATCTAATGCTTTTGTTGGAGATGATCATTCGCTGGCACTATATTTAAACTCCGCGTGAGTGTGTGTGGTTTGAACAAATGACTTCCGCTACTTTTATTCGAACTGGTTTGTAATAACTATGTTTAAACTCTGATGTATCTGAGATTGCGAACTTTTATGTAATATGTGATGGTGACCGCTAAACTTATTACGATCATGGCTGGGACACGAGTTGGTTTGAAATCCTTTGTGATTTCACGGACTACCGGGTTATACGGGCTTAAGTTTGTTCAATCGTCTGCTCTGGTGGATGATTCTCTTACTTAATTTCGTATAATTGGTCGGTTCTGTTACAGAAGATAGAGTTGGGAGAGAGAAAGAGAAAATAATTATTACTCATAGAAACCATGGATTGGAAAGCAGTACTTTTTTAGTGCGGTATCCTATGTTATAGAAACTACTACTTTTTTTCATTGGGACTGTCCTAACACAGCCCTGTGCATTGTGCTTAAAAAGATCTTCTCACGTAGGTCGAGAAAACCCTCGAACATCTGCCCCACCCATACACAGCGGCACCGTAGCTAGGGGCGGAGCTAGAGCAAATACGAGAGGGGTGCACTTGCCTTGTCAGTGCAAAAAAATTTATCATATGGGTGCGAATATGGTGAAAATTTGATCATAATCTCTGATTTTTTATATTGTGGGTGCGCCCGCACCCTGTACTTGTATATAGATTCACCTATGACCATAGCTTCCGTGAGACTGGACTGGCCTTAGACCTGTGCTTTAGCGTGGGACAGACAAGGGGATTTTTTTAACGCGTAGATAAACTGTGCTTCCTCCGACCAACAAATTCGCCCCCAAGGGGGTTCAAACTCTGGCCGGCAGGGTGCAAAGTGTACAGCCAGTCCAACTGGTCTAGCGTTCGCTTGCAAAAGCAAATAATAATGTCTTCCCTAAGCCTAATCATAATCCATATATGCCTTTCACTTGAGAGCAGTTGCACCCTATATTGTGGAATGGAGTGTGTGACATATCACTATATATATAGCTATGTGTCAATTATGTTTTTTCTAACAAAGTACTCTGTCGATTTCAATTCAAACTATAAGACGTCTTAACTTTTCTAGATATAAATTTTTTTTCTATACATTTAGATATATACTATGTATAGATACGTACTAAAAATAATGTATCTAGAAATATCAAAATGTCTTGTAATTTGGGAATGAGGGAGTTGAGTTTGTACTCTACTGTTTGCCCTACAATAAAAAATGAGAAGAAAAAACAATCACTATACTGCCAACGTGCTGCACGAACTAAGCTCAATTTGTTGTTAAAAAAACTGGAACTGTCCGACTATTATAAAGCCGCCGAAAGCCGCGAGGAGATCTCCTCATCCTGTCTTTCTTCAATCAATCACCTCCGTTACCTCGACAAGCGTCTTCAACGCCATGCAGCCGAGCGGCCGTGAGATCGCCGGCGGCGAGGGCGGGGGCGTGGCGCAGCAGGCGGACGACTTCTTCGACCAGATGCTGTCCACGCTGCCCTCCGCGTGGGCTGACCTGGGCGCCGGTGGCAAGTCGCCCTGGGAACTCACCGCGACCGCGGGCGCCGGCGCCGGCGCGGCCGAGGACCCCGCCGCGCAGAACCACTTCGGCGACGAGTCGGCGCTGCTCGCGTCCCGCCTCCGGCAGCACCAGATCAGCGGCGGGGACATCAAGTCCTCCGCCTCCCCGGTCATGCTGCAGCTCAGCGACCTGCACCGCCACGGCGGCATGGGGGGCGAGGACAGCGGGGGCAACGGGTTCTCCCCGCTGCCGCTCTTCACGGACCGGTCCGCCGCGCCAGCGCGGGAGGAGATGGAGGGCGGCTTCAAGTCGCCCAACTCCGCCGTAAGAATTGTCGTCTTCTTGGGCTCAATTCTTCCTTCCTTTCTCCTCGATCGAGCTCACGTCGATCTTTCCTTAACCTTTTGACTATTTCATTGGCATGGATTCCGCTTGCGCGCGCGTGTCCATCCAGGGAGGTGATCACTCCTTGTTCAACGGGTTTGGGATGCACGGCGCGGCCTCCGTGCAGCCACAATTTGGCCAGGTAAGTAAGATCACCACTCACCATCTAGCTAGCTATATGCCAAGAACAAGAACCCTTCTTAATTTCATGTACCTATATATGCTGTCTCCGCAGAGTGCATCAATGTCGCCGCAGAGCCTGGGAGGGCCTGCGGCGAGCGGCGGCGCACCCCCAGCTGGCGGGGCAGCTTCATCGGCCGGGGGCGGGGCGGCACCCCCGCGGCAGCAGCGGCAGCGGGCGAGGAGAGGGCAGGCCACTGACCCCCACAGCATAGCGGAACGTGTATGCCACCTTTTCCTTTCTTGTCTGAAAGCTGAATTGTTGCCTTTTAACAAAAATCAACAAGCTCCTTACCAAACGCACGTACGTCACAACACATTGCAAAGCTTTAACCTTAACAAACATTCGCTGGGACTCAATTCCACAACCTTGGAAATCAAGTACATGATTGTGTTTGTTCGAAGAGTCTTATGTCTTAAATTGACATACAGTTAACCAGTCATTGTTCATTAACGATCAGAGAGTTTCAGCCAGCTAAATTATCCCCTACACATTGCTTGATCCTAGTAGTATCCTACCACTTGCATTGTACGACACATATATTTTTCTCAACATTTTTGCAATCCATTTCGCATGCATGCAGCTTCGAAGGGAGAGGATCGCGGAGCGGATGAAGTCGCTGCAGGAGCTGGTCCCGAACGCCAACAAGGTCGCCCCACCCCCCCCTCCCCTCTAGCTCCTTAATTTCTCCTCTCACGTCGTCACCGTCGTCGTCTTGGCTGCTTTACCGCTTTATTTGGCGCGCCCTCTCGTCGTTTCGCTCTCCGGCTCCGGCGGGCCGCGGAAAGCGCGAATCTTTCCCGACCCACGCGCGCGTGCGGCGGTTGCCCGTTTACACCACCGCGACCGCGAGCGAGCGGCTGTGATAGGCACCAGGTAGGTGAGACTGAGAGCAAGCGCTAGCTGCTCCTGACTTGTCGGGCTCATGCGATGTGATTCGCCGGATATGCTGTACTGCAATGCCTGAAACTTTGATTTCATCGATTGGAGTATTGGACGCACTAGAGTACTAGGGTCGATCTTGCGCTGCGCCACAGGTTGCAGGGCTTTGGTGGTGCTGTGTGCACACAGTGCACTGTAGAAAATAATACTGGTAGCAACTTTATGTTGATTGCAGTAAATGGATATGTGGGCGAATTTCCATGCCTTGTTTTGCTCAATCTGTCCCCGAATTTCGGAAGGGGTGATCAATGGCAGCATGCCGATCGATCTATCGACCTGGTGACGTACGGCTTGTTTGTCACCGGATCGAATTGCCAATTTTGATGCTGTTATTACTGTTAGCGTGTAGTAATATGTTAAGAAGAAGAAGAAATGGAGTGTAAAAATGTGAAATGTGTGGTGACCATTGACGCTGAAATGGTGACGTGGGGCGGTTGTGGTTTTGCAGACGGACAAGGCGTCGATGCTGGACGAGATCATCGACTACGTGAAGTTCCTGCAGCTACAAGTCAAGGTGATGCTGCTACTTGTGAACATTGCTGCCGAGTGCTGACAAGTGGTAGTTCAGCCACCTGTCTTTGATCCCGGCTATCCGCTATCCTCAGTGCCAGTGCTGACTTCGTAGTGCATTGCAGGTTCTCAGCATGAGCCGGCTGGGAGGAGCCGCTGGCATGGCGCCTCTGGTTGCAAGCATGGCTTCATCTGAGGTAACCAACTAGCAGCATTTGACACTGGGTCGCTCACCGCCACCACCGTACCAACATTACAGCATAACAGATGTCTTTGCAAGCTAATAATCCGTGAGTAGTCTGAATTCTGAGAAGCATGCATGATCACGCGCACGTGCAGGGCAACAGCAATGGAAGCGGCGGCGGCAACAATAGCGGCGGAAAAGGCGGCGTCGGTGCTGGTGCTACCACCATGAGCGGCAGCGGCGAAAACGGCAACGGCGGCGGGGTGCGGGTGACGGAGCATCAGGTGGCGAAGATGATGGAGGAGGACATGGGCACGGCCATGCAGTACCTGCAGGGCAAGGGCCTGTGCCTGATGCCCATCTCCCTGGCGTCCGCCATCTCCTCCGCCACCTCGTCCGCGTCGCTCCTCTCCCGCCCGCCCGCCGTCGGCCGCCACGCTGTTGCCGCCACAGCCGGCCAGATTCACGACGCCAACGGCGGCGCTGCCGCGGCGACGACGTCGGCTAACAGTGCCGGAGGAGGAGGAGGAGGCGATGACTCACGGTCCGCCAAGGACGGCGGCGGGAAACTAGCAGTGAGGTTGCCTGCCTGAGCGACAACTGTATCAAAGAAAGGGTGTACGTGTGTCTAAAAAAAATTATGGAGAGTGACGTAGGCAGCATCCTGCCATGCTATTGTATCATATCATACATTCGTTTTAATTAATTCTCTTCCAGTTTCTGTTGACGAAGGAAATCCCATATTGTATACAGCACACACACACCGTCCTTTGAGGCTTTGACCTTTTACTTCGTGCACCGTACCATAATGTGTGCAACACAGTGACTGACACCAGATCGACCATGTGCTGAGGACATCGTCGTATCTTTCCTCTTAAGACGTATACGCAGCGTTAATGATTGAGGTACCGGTGATTACGCTGTCCAGCAATGATGGGTCGATCTGGACGATGATCGAGCGACGACGTGCAGGCTACTAATAAGGTCAGCTGGTCAGGTCGTGCGTGCCGCCGTCGTGGCGATGGCTGGCTGGAGAAACGGCCCGAAACAAAATGTGATCAAGAGGAATATATAAGTGCATGCGGTGAGCATGGTTATTGCGATCCGGTCCGTAGATTCTCATGCAGGCGAGGTGCACGCACGTTTGTGAAGTAGGAGTACGTGCAGTTCTCCTAGACCGCGCGTGCTTAAAAATTGGGAGTGTCAGGCTGTCAGCTACTCAGCTCAAGATGGTAGGCCCAAGGGGACGTAGAAAACGAGGATAAGCCTGATAGGAGCAGCGCCAGTGGGAACGGCTACGTTGATTTGCACTTGTTTTCCTAGATGGATCTACAGCTGCTTGGTCACACAGGCTAGACTGGCCACACACTCGGTTCTCGGCTTGAGTCGCTGGACGGTCGGCTGCAACACAACAACAATCGCGTCTCCGCGATCGTGTGCTCTCCAACTGAAACCGTGTATACTACGAAGAACTGGAAAATCTCGTCAGCCTCGGCCAGACAGCCTACCTTCTGGCTTCTGGAAGAAAAGGAGCTGGCAGGCCTCACCTTCTTAGAGCCCACTAGCCCAGGCGCAGTGAGCCCACCAAATTGAAGTCACGTGCGCCGACTTCGCTTCCGCCGTGACCCGGCCCACTAGGCCCCACAACAACGTCGGCTCACCCGTTCACGACTCCGCGTCCAACTTCTCCACGGCCAGCTCGCACCGCCATCCACCCATCTCGATTTGGTTCCCCTTTCGGGCTCTCCCCATCGTCTTCCGCCTTCCTCTGCCCCCGGATCCAGCCAGCCTCGCCGGAACCCTAACCCTAGCCCGCGATGGCCAGCTCCGCGCAACCCGCCTCAGGCGCCTCCAGGGCCGTGGTGCTCCGCCTCGACGACCTGGCGCTGCCCCCGCGGTACCTCACCGTCCCGTCCCACCTCCCCGTCTCCGACCTCCTCGTCTCCCTCCCGCTCCCCTCCTCCTCGTACTACCTCACCGCCGACGGCCGCCCGCTGCCGGGCTCATCCCCGGTGTCGGCGCTCCCGCCGTCCGCCTCCGTCCAGCTCCGCCTCCGCGCGCTCCGGGGCGGCGGAGGCGACGGCGGCGCCACGGGCGCCGAGTCCCGCGACTGCTACCTCTCCATGTACCTCGCCAAGAAGCCCGACAAGGCGGACCCCAACGAGGCCCGCCTCTCGCGCTTCACCTGCTGCGCGCTCTCCGGGGAGCCCCTCGCCGCGCCCGCCGTCGCCGACCGCCTCGGCAACCTCTACAACAAGGAGCCGCTCGTCGAGGCGCTGCTCCACAAGCGCCTGCCCAAGGCGCTGTCCCACATCCGGGGGCTACGCGACATGATCCCCATCCACCTGCACCCCAGGCCGGACGCCGAGGCTGCCGGGGAGGAAGTCCGGTTCCAGTGCCCCATCACCGGCCACGAGTTCAACGGGAAGTACCAGTTCCTCGCGCTCCGTGGGTGCGGCCACGTGCTCAGCGTCAAGGCGCTCAAGGAGGTCAAGTCGTCCGCATGCTTGGTCTGCCACAAGGAGTTTGATGAGGCCGACAAGATGCCCATCAACGGGACTGAAGAGGAGGTGGCCGTGCTGAGGAAGAGGATGGAGGAGGAGAGGGGGAAGGTGAAGGAGAAGAAGGAGAAGAAGGTGGGGAATGGCCTCAGTGGGAATAAGCACGCTGCTGCTACTGTTGCGGCAGCGGCGGCAGGGGCTGACAAGTTAGAGAATGGGAAGAAGGGTGAGGCGGCTTCAGCAAAGCGCTTCAAGGCTGCTGACCATGCACCAGCCCATGCCAATAAGGAAGTGTATGCGTCCATATTCACATCGTCCAGGAAGTCGGATTTCAAGGAGACATACTCATGCCGGTCGCTTCCATTGGGAAGGAATTGATGTCATGCCAAGATCAATTGCATTGCACGGTGGTGATCCTCTTGTATTGATTTGCCTCACTCATATCATGGATGGCTCACAAGTTTAATGTTGGTCGCTTTATCTGGCAGTATTATTTATCTTTGATTGGCGACCCTGATCATATTTTGGCTGTTAGAGCAGCGTTACATTCATCAGATGAATGATGTGTGCAATCTGCAATTAATACTTGATCTTGTGTAGCAGCTTGTGTTGGAATAAAGTTGTTACTTGTATGCATTGCTAATGGTTCCCAAAAAAAATGACAAACGGCGGTCTTCATTGTCGTTGTTGCCACAGTACAGTTAATCAAAGTCCATATGTAATATTTTTATGTATTGCCCACAAAAGATGTAATCTATGGAATTCAAACAGTGAGGATGTGTGGACAGTATGCGGTTTTGTGGACATCAACATTGCCAGTTTGTCATTCTTTTCCCAATACCATTTCCTGCTAATTGACATTGCAGAGCTATGGTGCTGTTATGGCACACAAACCTTTGTAGGTCTGCTAATTGTGCTGGTGCGTACGTGAACTGCATCAGTGCAGCTCTTGTGAACCATTGGAAACACAAACTGCATACTGAACATCGATTAACATTGCTGGTTGCTGTTGTCCTGTGCTCTAAATTGATACAAGACTGATGTGGTCGATTCAAACCTTTCGGTTATTACACCCATATATTTATTCCAAGTTGGAATGGAGCACCCCTCAAAAAAATAGTTGGAATGGTGCACATTATATTTTTGGTTTTTAGGATTTTTTTATTAGATTACTATATGTTGCTTGAAATTTGATCTTGTTTAAATAAACATACCTTCATATGTGATCTATGCGTATGTGACGATCTATTTGATCTTGTTTATCTGATGAGTGCACTGATTTATTTTAAAGTTGAAACTGCTTATGCAACCTCAGATACATTGGATTTCTAAGTGGAAATATATAATTAACGTTACTATTAGTATTCTAACTGATACATCATTTCTTTTCATTGTTGACTGTTTTATAGACAAGAAATTGCCAAAGATGTGTATTCCATGATGCGAAATTTAGCGTAGAATTTGATACAGGGGTGTGGATTGAGCTGGATACGTGAGCATCCAAACAAGGCCTGAATTTGCCCTATCCACGTGACCTTTGGGATACTAGTCAGGACAAAATAACCACGGGTGTTTTCAGCCCTAGTGTGTCAATCCACGACGGAGAAAAAAATGATTGCTCGCTCATGATTTTCTTTCCCTGTCGGCCGCCGCTTTCGCTCGCTCACGTATCGCATTCGCCATCCCAGCGTCGTCTACCTCGCCAAGCACCTACTCCTTGCCGACCAACCGGAGCCATATCGCAGACCTTGTGGCGTCCTAACCATTGACCTCTCTTTCTTCCTCCCTCGCCTCTCACTTCCTGCCCCCTCCCCTCCTCTTTTTCAAAGGTTCTAAATGTACTGCTCATGATCTAGAGGAAGGAGAGGAGAAGCATTTTGTGACGTTCTCAAGATATTTGAGCCCGTGAATAATCTTCAGCTCAATAGGTTTTGGTAGTGTTCCTTGCATTGTCTTTTGATTTGTTTTCTTTTCTTTTTTTTTTCCTTTCCTTTGTCATTCTTTTCATAGATGTGTAATCTTCAGTTGCTAATCTATGCCCCCTTCATGCTGGTGGTCAAGCTGCATTCAGTGCTCTTCAAAATCCATGAGGAAGAGGGTGAGATTTGCATGTTCATGTTAGAATTTTGTTATTTTAGGCTACATTTGTGCATCAATTGACAGGCTCCTGTTAAAAGTAGGTATGAGTGGTACTTTTCAAAAGCTAGATGCAAGGCCTTGTAGAAGATAGAATCATCTTAACTCATGTTAGATCAGCAAGTATGCTTGTGACAACAATTGGGGGGTGCGGTAAATATGTTTTTTTTCTCTCACATTACTTGTATATATGAATCTGACTCCAACAATACACGAGATGACCTGGTAGTATGTTTCTTTTCATGAATCTTCTAGCTTTGCTCATATTCTAGGTGCTTATTAGTTTTTGTTGGTATTATTGAAATGATTTTTTTTCAAAAATGCAAGAGAGCTGCACTTCTTTGTATTATTATAGAGAGAAAAAATGGTCCCCATACATCAACCCCACTCATATGGGGATCAGGTATGAGGGGGTGGGTTTACATCACACGTACTGGCGCTAGTCTAAAGGAAAGGAAAAAAACAACATCACCAGCCAAGACCAAAGCTACCTCAGAGTGTGCTGCTAAGACCAAAGCTAAATAAGACCTTGGTTCTGCAACTTCTTGGGCCTAGCGAAACGCCAAAGGCTGTGCTCATCATTCAGCTCACGCTAGATTGAGTTAACTGAAGGAGAGGCACCCTCAAACACACAAGCATTCCTATGCTTTCAAATAACCCAAGCACCCAACATGACCAGAGAATTCACTTTTCTGTGCTCCTTCGATACTCTTCTAATTGTTTTACGCCACCGATCAATGAAACTATGCTCATGTTGTCGGGGGATTGTGTCTAGCCACCACACAAGATGTTAGAAGGTGCTAAATTGTCTCATCTTCTTATCACAAAGCGGACACTTATCCGGATGAGGCAATCCTCTCTTAGCAAGTGTGTCCGATGTCCAACATCTGTTTCTGGTAGCTAACCAAAGATTTTTTTTGCATTTGGCCGGAGCCCAAGATTTTCATAGTCTTCGCCAAGGATTATTGGAATGATTTGACCTAGTTATTATAGGGCACCCCGCACTTCGCTGTGGGCTGGCTAAGTTAGAACATCTGAACTTAAAAGTGGTACCGTAAAAAGTGGAGAACATTTTTGAATCCACTGTATTCAATATTGATGTAACAATGGTATTGGGATCAATAGAGTTGCATGAAGCAAAATTTCATTTGAACTAAAAATGGCACTTTAAGCAATTTATTACAATCGGGAGCGGTAGTTTTGATCAGGGACAGAAACAGCAAGGTACAGACTGCGAGCGCGATAGGAAAGAGAAGCAAAGTGAAATAAAATAAGCTAAAAAGGCTTTTATAAGATTGGTTCATCGTGTCAGGTAATGAACATTTGTCTTAGGTAGCAAAGCATAGATATTTGTGGTAATTTAGATATATACAATATTTTTAGAAGCACTGAAGAGTCCATAAGTTAAATAAAGTTCTAACTGGTGTGCGTAATTTTATCTAAAAGAAACTGGCCCGTGTAATTTACAAAGGAAAGACCCTTGGCAGAAGCATTCAAGCGATACTCCTTGGTGGTAGCTGCAGGCATACAGGTCATATATAGCAGGAGCAGAAAATTGTTGTAACTGACCTACTCTTGTTTTAGCGAAGTAGTAAGATTGGATCCTCTTCATCATCTTCGGAACCTTGATGGTGGTTGAGGGAGGTGCACACGTGGGGAAGAAGGAGGCAGGCGATGGGGGTGGCACTTGAGTACAGCTAATGCACACTAGCAGTGATATAAGCAGGGAGGAAAATGGACATAATGAAAGGAAAAGAACATTAGTATACATGAAGATTTGGAGTAAATTGCATTACTGCATAGAAAATTATGGATAATCAAGAAAATGGACTAAAGAAGAAGGAAAAAGTATGTTTTATACTCTATAAGTTCATTTGTGGCCAAACTTTACTAGAATTGCTAATACTCGCCAGGTCACAGAAGGGAAAAGAAGACCTTAAACAGTAAAAAAAAATCAAGTGTGAAAGCCTTTTAGGCCTAAACAACTTGGGGTAGGCAAGAGATGAATCCCATCATGAGCTATCCATCAACATTTGAAACCAAAAAAACATGTAAACCTACCAGATTGAAATATCATGTCAAATAGCATAATATGAAACTGAATAAATAATCAAGACAACAATGCACAGTACATGTTTTAGCAAAGAAAGGGCCAGTGTAGAGTGTACGCAAAGGAAGTAGAAATTAGAAATTAAAAAACGAAAAGACCACAACAACCTGGCAATGTTTAGGACATATTCTTGTCAATATCACACCTATTTTTATTTATTTCTTTGCTGAGAAGACCCCAGTTAGTATGCCTGCCAGTTAGTATGCCTGCCAGGTAGTGATTGTAACACCCCAGGTGTTTATCACCAGTTAAGCAATAGGTTTGAGCTCAAACATGACATGTCAAGTGGTAATCAAGGTGTCAAGATCAAATCTACATGATGGAGCTTCAACTTAAACTTGGGCCACGCACATTTGCTTACATATGGACCCTTGTTAAGATTATGCAAGAGTAATGCTAAACATGCTTCTTCCATGTACATTACATCCACATGCATCCATCTAGACCCGTGGAAAAGTTTCATGAAGTTTGGAATCAAAAAGTCACATGAAATGATAAGTCATATCTTTGCATGAATTGCTTTATCAAGTGGATGGAAACCTATTGAAATCAACCAAACCTTCAACCTTGGCTCAAATGACTCTAGATGAACTCTACAACAAAAGTCATGAAAGGTTCATGTTGAGCAAATGCTTGGAAAATGCCTCAATTGACCTAAAAACCTAGTTTCGGCTTTATCAAGTTGTTTGCCTTGACCTAAGTGAAAGTTTGACTTCAGACTGATTATGAAATCTGACCTTTAACAAAGGTTGTAGTTCATCTTAGGTAGAACAAACTTTGTTAAATGGTCAAGATCTAGTTTGGCCTCTAACTTGGTCAAATAGAGCTCACAAGGTTGAACCAAATTCTTTGTTTTGGGAAGAGCGTAAAATATTCCAAGTCCTTGAGTGGCAAAGCAATAAGTTGACATGTTTGGGAATTTCTATCTTCCAAAATCACATAGTAACTCAATTGGATTCCTTAATATGAGTTGGAGTACTTTTCATGAGGGAAAGCAATGAATCATGTGTCACCCATTTGGAGTTAATTGGGACCTTTAAAAGTAATCTCCAAAACAAAGAAAAAAGTTATTTTTATCACTTGAATGACATCGACAATGGCGTCTCACGTTCTGCAAAAAAATTTGTTAAGC